CCCCCCCCCCCCAGGCTTGCTGTCTGCAAATGCTTAAATCCATGGATGACAAGTCTGTGAATATGGAGGGCCCACTGTAGTCTCTATTTTGACTAATGATTGAACCAAGGTATATAAAATATTTAACTATTTTATCTACTTTTAAATTATGTAATTTTTTGTGGTCATTAATGTTGTTTCCTTAATATTCAACCATAACCCTGCTTTTGAAGTCTCCTCAACTTTCAGAATTCTTCAGCATATTGCTCCCATTTTCTTTTTAAATTAATTTTGTTTTGGTCATATTGCATCCCACACTTGTTTAAAGTTTTCTTTGATTTCTTGTATCTTGTGGAAGAGGTCTCTTGTTCTTTTTAATGTCTTCTTCTATTTCTTTGCATTGATCATTATAATAGTTCTCTTCATCCCAGTAATATGTCTTGTGACATTTTGGATTGTCTCATAATCATAGGGGTTTTGAGGCAGAAGACATTAGGAGTGGTTTCCTTTGTCTTCTGCACAGTGCTAGTAAGAGGAAACTGAAGTGGCACTACTATTGTCTTTGAGAGATACTGTGCCAGTGTTACCCCCTACTACTGCATAGTAGTTTCCATTCTGATGCTTTCTGCCACCCTCATCATTTGGAATATTCACTTCTCTTCTGCTGAAGCAGCTGTTACTTCCAGAAGATAATGGATGGGTGCATCTTAGTCTGGTATCCCCACTTTGAGCAATTTGACTGTGTGTTGCCTGCTAGGATTCTGTAGTCTTAATAAAATCAGGTCTCCAGATGATATTACTGATGGTATGATGATATTGCTTTCAGCTTCACTGACACACTCAGTCCCTCTTATCATGTTAATTTATGTATCTGAGAGAGGCAGTAGTGATACTTATGCCCCACTTTCCCCTCCCAAAGTAGGCAATGAAGCATACATGGCTCTGCCCTTCCCTGCTTTTATTTTCAACAGCCCAGGTTAGTTTCAACAGCCCAAGATAGGTTAGAAGGAGTCTTACTGGGCCAAAGTAATCCACTAACTTTTATGACTGAATAGAGACTGGAACCAGCATCTTCCAAATCCAACAGTGTAATCAGTCCTAAGTCCCAGTCCAGTATTGGAATTAGTAGGCTTCTTCTGTTTCATCCTGCATTGCCATTTCAAAACACACATAAGCAAGTCTGAGTTTCTCTTAAGGAGATTACGATGGAAGTATGATAGGTAATAATTTATTAAATAACACTCTGACTGATAGCCCACAAATTTCTATAGCCAATGCTTATTAACTCAGTGAAGACTTTTGTGATTTGGAGACCTTCATACAGATTTCCTCTATCTTTCTGTTTATGCATGATATAATGTAGAAATTCATTATACATACAGATGGGATATGGGAGGGTGCTATTCTGATTTAATAAAGGAATATACGCACAGATGCTATTCTGGTTTGATAATCAAAGCAATATACATATAGAATTTTAAAATTTCTGTTTGTAGAGAAGCACCTCTCTGGTGATTTCTGTTTAGAGAATTACATTATGCACAAGGACTGTGATTTTGCTTAATTGAATAGAGAAACTATCTGTGTTCAATTTTGTACTTCTAGGCATTAAAAGAGAGCTTTATAAAAGCCATTGGAGTTGGATTAGGTTTCAGTCTTCAAAGGATTGAATTTAATGTATCCCCAGTGCAGTTGGAAGTGGGAAAAACTTATACTGAGACAATTATGCTCTTGGATGGTGAAGAAGAAAAGGAATGGACTTTTGAGGTAAGGTACCAAATGAAAGACTATTCCCTAAGTACATTTATGCACACACACACACACACACACACACACACACACACACATGGGGGGGGTTGTGTCTCCCTTATCCAAATTGCTTGGGACCAGAAGTGTTTTGGATTTTGCATTTTGGAATATTTGCAGGTGAAATCCTGGAGATGAGATCCAGGTCTAAATGTAAAATATGTTTATGTTTCATATACATCTTATACACATAGCCTGAAGGTAATTTTATACATAATAATAATTTTGTGCATGAAACAAAGTCTGTGTACACTGAACCATTAGAAAGCAAAGATGTCACTATCTCAGCAAACCATGTGGATAGTTTTGGATTTTGGAATATTTCAGAATTCGGAATTCTGTATCAGGGATTCTCAACCTGTGTGTGTGTGTGTGTGTGGACATGAAGTACATTTGCAGTGGTTTTAAGTCCAGTAGAGAATTTGGGGGCCCTCATATTTTGAACTACAGTTCCCATCATCTCTTCCCATTGGCTGTGTTGGCTGAAGCTTCTGGGAATTGTAGTCCAAAACATTTGGGGGCACTAGGTGACCTGCTGGTATAAAAAGACTTCATGTACTCACCATATATACATTATAAGCACCACCTTATCAAGTAAAGTCTCTTTTTCTCTGTATGTTTTTGCTGTATCTTAAGCAGCACATAAATTAAAAACATTACTTTCTCAAATCTGTCTGAAGTAATGGATTAGGACCCAAATTTAGGTCTTAACCCATGACTTTTGGGATTATCACATAATTATTTTTTGAAGACTGAACTGCCCTAAAGAAATGTAGCAATGTTTCCAATGCCGGCTTTATCCAATGGAAATGCTTCCACAGCCTCTACAAATACATTAAATTGGAGTGTCCATAAAGCTTTTAATATCTGTAGTCCATGTGACCTCATGCCAACATCAGCAGTAAACGAACATTAGGCTTCTGCTGCATTAGCTCTTTGAAGTAAGAAATTACATTAATAGAAGTCACTGAGATATAACCTCTTAACTTTCAGTTTATGCTTGATAATGTATGAGTGAGGGGAGTGGGAGAAACCAGAAACAACAAAAGAGGAAATAAGTGTTCAGTTGTATCCAAAGTAATAGGCAAGGTGTGTGTGTGTGTGCTAATTTTTAATCTTCCGCAGTGAACACTTTATTGAAACACTGGTTTTGCAGACCTTAGCAAAATTAACTGTGCTACAGTACAACTGGACTGTAGTTCAAAAAAGTAACTTCTCTAGGCTCTGGGCTTTCGGCAAGTATAAAGATGTTTCTTCCCTGGGAACACATTTCCCCCCTACATAAATTCTAATTCAGAATGAGGATCAAGGCTTTATCTTCTTATATATTGAAGTTTTACTTTATTATGAGTATGATGTCACATGAGCAGTCGTGAATGCACATTTGAGGCAATTTACTAAGGAACACTGAATGGGAAAAAAACCCACTGAATCACCTCACATACACAATACATAGAACATCCTTCATTCCCACTAACAAATTTTTATTTCTTTTATTTCTCTTTCATGCCTGCCCTCCAGTAACTTGCCAAAACACAAGTGAAGAAGTATTTAGCACTGCATTAGCAGAGACCCACAAGTGGATCATGCCTTGATTAATATTTTGTTTGTCTGCTTCTGTTTCTTTATAAATAGTGAGAGGATGAGAGAGAGAAGCCAAGAGCAAGAAGTGAGTAACAAAGATAAAGGATAACTCAATGCTGAGGAAAGTGGAGCTTCACAATATAGAACAGGGATGAGCAATGTGGGAGGCTAGAGAGGTGCATTATCTCCAAGGAAGCCTTGGAGGGCTGCATTCTCACTGCGTTTCCCACCTCCAAAACTGAAATAATGATAATATCCCCAAATGCTCCACAACACCCTCCAAAAGTGTGCAGGGGCATTTTTACCATGTTCCCTCCCTCTGTACTTTTATAAAATCAGGAAGTGGTGAGAAGGAGCTGTCCACACTGCAGAAATAATCCAGTTTGATGCCATTTTAACTGCCATGACTCAGTGCTATGGAATTCTGTGCACTGTAGTGTTGTGAGACATTTAGCCTTCTCTGTGAGGTGGCAGGGTGGTGTAGTGGTTTAAGCATTGGGTTAGGACACAGGGTGACCAGGGTTCGAATCCCGGCTCAGCCATGGAAACCCACTGGGTGACCTTGGGCAAGTCACACTCTCTCAGCCTCAGAGGATGGCACTGGCAAAACCACCTCTGGAGAAACTTGCTAAGAAAGTCCTATGATAGGTTCGCCTTAGGGTTGCCATAAATCGGAAATAAACTCAACACATTGCCATCATTATCTAGTCCCAGCAGCTGGTGAGGCACCCTCCCTCCATTCCAGTTGCCACTGCTGTAGTCTCTGAGGGAAAGAAGGGCCATCATGGGAGAGACTGAGGACCACAGAGACCGTCAGGGGGGCTGTTGGAAGGAAGAGGCTGCTGTATTTGCTACTGTTTTGGACCTCTGTTTCCCCCAGAGGTCTAGCTCTTTGCAGGACTAAAGCCCTCAGCTGGTATTGACCTCCACCCAGCACAGCTGCCTTGACTGACTGAAGTATGAAAACAGGACTTTGTGGGAGGCCTTACCATACAACATCCAGCAGAGAGACTGAGGATCACAGAGACAATCAGGGGCTGTAGAAAGGAAGAAGCTGCTGTGTTTGCTACTGCCTTGGACCTCTGTTTCTGTCAGTTGTATAGCTCTTTACAGGACTGAAGCCTTGATTCAGCAGGCACTGCTCTTTACACTTGCACTTTATTCTTGCACTGAGTATAGAGGGCAAATGTTTGTCCTTTTGCTGGACATAGGCAAGGGTCTGTTACCTGCATTACCTCCTTGGCCTTAGAGGGAGAGAGACAGGCCAGCTCTATCAGGCCTAGCCTAGATTAAGAAAGAGAGCCCTCCCTCCAGTCCATCAGCCATGGTCCAGGCCTCAGAGGGAGAGAAGATCTGCTGGATTCCTCACCACCATTCCCTTCTCTTTTTGTCTCTTGACTTTTACCATTTGTAAGCCGCTCTGAGAACCTCTGTAGCTGAAGAGCAGGATATAAATACTCCAAACAAATAAATAAATAAACATCATCAATGTCAGAGATCTCTGGTGCCACAACAAACTACAATCCTAAAATTGCCCTAGGGTCCCCCAATAGAGGTTAAAATGCTTGTAAGCTCCCTAAAGGGTATTTTTGACTTTATTGATAAACTTGAGGGGCCCTGGAGATTACAAAACAGCCCTAGGAGGTCTTGTGGCCTGTGGGCTACAGGTTCCCCACCTGGAGTCCTAGTCCAAGAGTCAAGCCACTCTACTATGTTGGCATGCAAATTTTGGCAGCAGGCTGCAAATATTAATATTTTTAAGCCTTTATAGCAAGTATTTTCTGCTTGTTTCAACATATGTTGTGTCATTTGCTGACACATTTCAGAAACATGTGTCCAGATTGTGACTTGCCCAAAGCCAACCAATGGGTTTCCATACTGTGTGGGGATTCATACCCCGATCTTCAGAGTCCGAGTCCACCACTCAAATCACTACACCACGCTGTCTCTCAGAAAAAAACAACAACATACAGGTGGTAAATATTTGAAGACATAGCTGTAATAGTCTCTGTATGAAAACATCTGCTACAAACTTCTCTCAGTTGTAAAGGTTCTGTAAAAACATTTGTAAGGTGGCAATTAGCCAGACTTTTTAAGCTAAACTAAAAGAGGGGTATTTACTGAGCAGAGGACCTGAGAAAGAGCAGTCATGGAAAAGAACTAGAACAGACACAAATTTGAAAATTCCCCTTTTAAAAAAGGATTTATGCTAGGGTCTCTTCCCCCATTAACAGTCTCTCTCCTCTGTTATTGAGCTTTGGTAGTTTATCTGGTTGTCAAGGCAGGCAGAAACACCATAGTCCCATGCAATGCTAAGCATTTGGGTCTAGTCATCATTTAAGTATCATGGAACATCTGAGAATGAAGTTATACCAGTAATAATTAGGAAAATTGAAACAGTAGCTACACATATCCCCTTGATGCTTTTTGGGGTTTCGGGATGGGATTGTAAAACATGAGGGATTATATTTCAGTTTATCATTTGCCTCCTCATCAAACTTTCTGAAGCACTGAGCAACATTAGAAACATCAGGAAATTTTGTGATCCTCTAAGTTTCTGGTTCTACCATCCTATGTTTGATTAGTTTCAAGGATGACTGATACACTGATATTTCACAGCAATATCAAATTAAGAAAGACCTCCATGGTGCCCTTATTATTTTATTTGCTAACCAGGAAACTCGATTAGATGATTATCACCATGTTGCAGTCGCTCTAGAAAAACCAAGAGTGTTTGACAAGAAATGTGGTGAGGTAAGATGATTCTGGGAAATTTTATAACCTTTCACAGTCTTTATACTCTGTAAATATTTCAAATTCTCAAGCACACATGTTAAGGTGTATGTGCATGTATGTATGTATGTATGTATGTATGTATAGTGCCTTCCATCCCAAAATACTGCACTGGTTCAGATGTCTTGAGTTCTACAGTAGGGCTTGAGCACCTCTGGAGGTTCTGTGGTCATTGTGTAATCCCAGACCATAGCAGACCCTCACAGAAAACCTATTTTTAGAAAATGGGGGGAAGTTTTAAAACAAAGTGTGGAGACTCCCCTGGCTTGTTTTAGAGGAGAGCCACAACTCCTAAAGTTAATGTAATTTTTTAAAAAAATGGCAGGGAGCAACTAGAAGCCACAAAACAGACATTTGCAAATGAATTAGTTTGCAAGTATTCCATTGGGAATCAATTGATTTCCATCCCTATTTCTGGAGCGACATTGATCACTTGCAATCCACTATTAATTTATTTGATTCTAGACTTTGTTCATACCACTGTGCTTGTTCAGTTTGCTATAGCTTTCAGGTTTTCTTACGAGCTCCAGTATGCACTAGCACATAGGTATTTTGATTAAATCCCTTCATGAAGAAGGAATAATAAACTGACCATGTTAGGATTAGAAGAAAACAAGGGATATGTCTCAAAGTATTCAATGGATGAATAATGTATTAATAAAAAGCCCAACTCTTCATTACCTTTAAATATGTCTGTCCTTTCATGATTCACAAACCATTAGGGATCCTCCAATGAGAGGAGTCCAACAGAGTCAAGGAATACCAACCTTTTGTGCTCTCTCACATTGATCCCATTCTATCTAAATATCCTTTTCTTTGTTTTTAAATATGGAAGGTTGTAGCAATAATTTGTCAAAAAAGAACTAGGGATATTTAAAGGTAATGAAGAATTGGGAGTTTTATTAATAATTCATTCATTCATTCATTCATTGAACACCTTGAGAGATGTCTCTTGTTTTCTACTGATTTTATTGGATGCTCCCTAGTTTTTGTTTTCATCATATTAGGGTTGCTAGGTGAAATAAGGGACAGGGCTTTTCTCTCTCTAATGGTTGTACAGAAGAGGGAATTTCAGCAGGTGTTGCTTGCCATACAGACAATATTGATTCCTCTTTGCTCTGTTGTGGAAGTAGTATAGATATGTATCAGTGTGAATATGCAACCTGTAAAGGAGGAAAATGTTCACAATGAATTACACATGCACTGGGACTTCTTTGTGTCCCATTTGCAAATCATTTGTAGAAATCTTTCATCTTTCCTCCTAGGCAGAGTAGAGGAGATATCAAAATAAGAATGGCCCAGAATGGGACTGCAAACCATTTTTCAGAATTTTATTGACTTCATTTCAGGTACTTGTTGACTCTGGAAATGCTTGTCCTGCCTTACTCACTGTAAAATTATTGCTTCTTTTTTAAATGTGACAAACATAAAGAAATAATCCCAGCCTTGTTCTTCAGTGGTAAAGTCATTGGTGATGCTTGCCAAATTCTAACCACAGTGCTTTTTTGCTTTTTTTAAAAGGTGTTTACTACAGATGTGACCCAGCCTGCATTTACAGAATTGACTTTTGAAGATTTAGTTGCCTCTGCTGTTCCTCTTGCACCTGAAGACCCCACCTGCTGGGATAACTTTTGTTCTAGGCAGGAATCACCAGCACGACAGAGTTCTAATCCAAGATAAGAGAATCTTTGTTTACAAGAAAAGAAGTTGAAAGCACTCAAAGGCCTCCCACTGTTGCTCTTCCAACAGTCAATTTATGTAGAAAAGGAGGGGAGTAATGCTTGAGGAAAAAGTTAAAATTACCTTTTATGTTCAGTATTTTGGCTCTTCTTTATGGACTCATTTACTTGTAATATAATGTCCTCTCCAAGAGCAAATTCAGAAGTGAAAGCAGCATATTTTTTTTTGTTGTTTTCTGTCCAAGTATGCATAATTATCAGGCTGCTGAGTTCTTCCCTATAATGAAGGAGTTGGCATAACCCTGCCTTCTGCCAGACATCTTCTGTAACATCTGCCACAAATTCACACCTATGGCTTTGTATACAATCCTATTCATGTAGTGTTTCACCTCTTCCAAGCAATCATACATTTGGCAGTACCCACGAAGCATTCATATAGTTAATGGAGCTGCATAGGAGAACAACACATGCCCACTCCTCCATGAAGAGAAAGATAATAGTGTATAATGAACCGGGCTTTTATTTCTTTGGGAGGTAATTTATAATTTCTGGATTTAAATTGTTGCACTTCCAATGTCCCTACCACCATCTCAACTATGAGACACATATTAAAAAAAGAGGAGGAGTAGCCCTTTTTTCATAATACCTGGCAGTCCAAGAAGACAAGAGTTCTCTAGTGACACCTTTAAAGCAGAAATAAAGACAGACTACTGATAGTGTGCCAGAATTTGATGTGTCTGTATATATAAATAATAATTAGTTTGTTTGGGGAGAAGCCACTGTCGGATGCTAGATACATAAAAAGTAAATGGGAAAAAAATCTAGCAGTAAAAAATATTAATGGAGCTCCATAGTTCTAGGAGATGACAATAACAGGGGCAAGTAATTCAGGGAAAAGCAAGATGTGGGGTTAGTAGACCACTTAGCTGTTATTGTACTCTATGCATCTGGAGAAGATACCATTTAAATCTGGGAGATTCTACTGTTGTCTGTTTTGGAGTAGAGCCTTCAGAGTATCCAGTTTTGGCAAGGTTAAGCCAAGTTGGAGAGGTGCAGTTCAAGTGGAAAAT